GTAGTTCTTTAATAAACAAACAAAAATGGCTCCTATAGTGCCCTTTTCAGTTTAGGATTAAGCTTCTGCCCCAAGTGAAGGAGTTTAAGTGTCTCGAGAGCATCTGTAATGAGGGTAAGATGATAGAGGAGATTCTTAGGCGGGCTGGTGCAGTGTAGGCGAGGATGCGTGTGTCACAGTGTTGTGGTAAAAATGCTTTTAAGTTACCAGAACTCCTGGATGAACTGGACTTGGATTTCACCTGGCAGGGTATAGGTGTTTTAGCAGGACCTGAAAGGAGCTGAACCTCTCTGCAATAGTTTTTCTCAGGTGTTTCTATTATTTAATAAGACATGAAGAAACCACTGAGCTTTTCTTATCCAGACATAAGTTGGTTCGGCTGTACAAGCGGGAGGAGCTGTGCTTGTAGATGTTGATATTCGTCTACAATGTGTTTTCATTCTGTTACAAACACACACACAGTAGTTCTCTCACTGCAGGACGGAGACTCCAGAGTTTCAGGGTTGTTAGAGGAAATATAACCGAACCAAAGGAGCCAAACAACTCCAGCTTTTGAACATGACTGGTGTGAACGCACCCTGAGGCACGTGTCTCTCACCTTTCCTCTCCTTCTTTCTCACCTCATCCCTCTCCTCCTCTTCACTCATCCTGCATAATTTCCTCCTCCTGACTTGCATCCTTCATCCTGATCCACACTGTGTGAACCCGGATCCTGATCCTGCTCTTCCTCCTCAACCCTGCCTGTTTCCTGCCTGTGTGTGTGTGTGTGTGTATCCAGATGGCCCACCTGGTGCAGGTGAAGAGTCACGGTCTGTCAGGGTCCCAGTCTCTGTACGACCCCCACGGCGTGTCCTCCTCCTCGGCGTCGCCCTCCCCCTCCCGGCCTCCCATGCCCCGGCAGAACTCCGACCCCACCTCCGACACCCCTCCTCCCCCGCCCCTCTCCCGCCTGGCGCCCCCCCTCGACAAGTTGGACCGCAGCTCCTGGCTGCGTCAGGACGACGACATGCCCCCCAAGGTCTCTGCATGCCCCGACGTGTGTGTGTGTGTGTGTGTGTGTGTTAACGCTCGTGGCTTGAAGCTTTTCTTTGTCTTAATTCTGTTTTTGTTTTCTGTGTGAACTTTAGTTTCTGTGTCTGTTGGGAGTTTCTCCTCATATCTGATGTTTCTGTGTTATTTTTTAGAGCAGATGTTGTGTTGATCTCATTTTATTGATTTTAATCTCAAAGGGCACCAGCTGCAATAAAGTAAAAGAAATTACAATAATAAAAAAAAAAACAATTCTTCTTCTTCTTCTAATGGAAAAGAAAACGGTGCAAATATGCATAAAACTAATCTATTTGTACTAAAAACTAAACCTCCTCTGAGAGAATTTACTTTACTAAAGTTGTGGCCTGGATTTGAAATCTGCATGTAGAAAATTATGACATGACATCATGTTTTTGTCAGCTCAGCATTGTGTTTTATGTCTTATATTAAAATATGTCTGTTGTGTAAGGGTTGGGTGTTCAGATCAGTGCAAAGCAGATTTTCACCTGGTTTTTCAACTATGCAGGACCGTTTATTTCAGACTTTAGTTATTTGTCTTTGTACTCATGCCGTCGCGCCTTGACTTCAAATTGCACTACATTACCTCAAGCAGGGATCTCAAACTGCCGGCCCGTGGGCCATTTCCGGCCCCCCACATGATGTCAAGAATAGCATACAGTCTGGCCTGCAAGATAGAGCTGCACAATTAATCGCAATATTATCAAAATCGCAATCTTACCAAGTGCAATATCCAAATTTCAGCAGCTTTTTGATAAAGTTAAGAGTGACAAGCAGCTTTATAATGAGGTTCTGTAGTGCTGCAGAGAGGCCCTGGCCTAAAAATCTTAAAATTTGATTTGTTTTCGGTCTGACTTATCAGCTTAAGAAATAAAAATGGAAAAGTTAGATTTTTTGTTATGTTTTAGGGCCAAATTTTCGTTTGCTGTGAGAAAACTTAAGTAGGTTTCTGTCCCTAAATTCTTGTAATAAGAATCTATATGTATGTGATGTAACTTAACTGCACACAAGTTAAGAAAGTGATCAGTAAACGGCTCGTTCAGTCTAAAATACACCAGTAACTCAGGGGGTCTTTACAGTATCCGGTAGGAAAGAAGTGGCTCCTAAACGGGGTCCAGAGAACATCTAGAGAATGATCTGACAGTGTTGCTGTAGCTCTCAGTTCTGTTCCAGATCGCACTCAAACATGGTGTCCCTTCTAAAAAACAAAATCCATGCTGGAGACGGTCTTGCGTAAAAACATGCGGGAGGTCCTGACTCAGACGGTTATGTTGTGTTTCTCAGGTTCCTCAGAGGACGACCTCCATCTCTCCTGCTCTGGTCAGGAAGCACTCTCCTGGAAATGGACCTGGCCTGGGACCTCGGGCTGGAGCTCACCTCATACGGGCTAGGTACACACACACAGTACACATATAGTACACATATACCCGTACACCAGGGGGTCTTTAATAAATAAAACAACTAATTTAGGCCTAATTATCCTATTATTGTTTCATATTTTCTTATTTTTATTATCTTATATTAGTGTGAACAGACAAAAAAACATGGGAATTAATCCGTAATGAAAACTGATAATTAATAAAATGACAAGATGCTCTCAGATCTCAGGATATATTAATCAACTTTAACTGGTTTTTGATGCTGTTACGTACCGTTACTGTGCAGCCTGCAGTGCTTCATCTAACAGCTCATTACTCTCCTGCTATATTCCCAGCTGATCCGCTGTCAATAAATGTCACAAATGACCATTTTTGTAGACGTATTTTAGATGAATGATAGCGAGCAACCGGCGCCAGAGCTCACACACAAACAATAAAAGTCATCCTGTGTTTCAGCAGTTAAATAATGTGAAGCTGCAGCGGTAGGAAATGTTCAGTTTGAATTAGCTGTAACTTAATGCTGCCTTTCACCGGGTATTTCCCCACAGACGCCCAGCTTGTAATAGTGTCAATATATAAATATATAAATACTTTCATCAGCAGCCATTCTGGCATTTCCCACAATTCTATGATATTTATCAAAAGGACATTTAAAGCAATAGTCTGTGATTCCCCTGAGATAGTGTCTAACCCTCTGCCTCATTTTGGTTTCCGACTGTTTACTGACTTTAAATGCACCAATTAGAATTATACATTTTCCTCCAACGGGGAAGAATTACATCGTCGCTAGAGTCTTATTAGAAATAAAGTCACTGAGAGAGTCTGAAAACTCACCAAGCCAGCAAAACTGAGGGTACGGAGCAGAAAATAAATAGGAAATAACAAGAGACAGCGCTTAAAAAAGGAGGAAATATTTAACATATTTTCTACTGTAGGCTGGGGAGCGTCCACCTTTTGTTCCCCACTGACTAATCCCAGTCCAGAGAGCAAGTTCTCTAAGAGTCACGTGACCTTTGTTTACAGCCCTGGTTATCTTGGTTAGCGTGAAACCAAACAAACCAAATAAGAATCACTGAGAAATTAAACTTTTTCCTCTCTGATTTAGAACAAAAGAGAAACGCTGCAGAAATTATCCAACTGATTTTTTTAATATATATATATATATTTTTATATATTAAGGTGTTTCTTAAATTATACAAACACACTCCAGTGAGTGTGTGTTTGTATAATTTAAGAAAC